ACTCTTGAAAAGTTCCTGATATAAAAGCAGCTATATTAATGGCTGCTAAATCAATTCATAAATTAATTTTGCCTCTATTAATTTCCAATTTAGTAGACTTAACCTTAAGTCTGAAAGTTGCCTGATTTTCTATTTGAACATAACGCAGCCATATGAAACAACAATATCCTAAGAGCTTTTTACTAAACACTGTTGATAAAGCATATGCTTACAATGAATCCTCTCATTTTCCTATTCCTGCATTCATGCTACATAGGCAAAAAAAATCAAACAAAATCTTTTTCTCTAAAAGTTACATGTATATACACTCATGGGTTTTAAAACACTCTTCCACTTAAGAAGCACCAAACACTTGTAACTCACCAAGCACAGAAAAAGCAGTTGTGCTGCCTACTAAGGAGATGTGATTTTAAGTGTACCCAATTACAACACATAAAGCATTCCTCTGATTTTAATCTCCATCTTTAAGGACGTATGTAACTATTTTTTATTAACTACCTATTTTAGCAACTATAGTTCCTTATACTGCTCCCTGCATACTCATTCTTACAACATAAGCACTGTGCAGTAGCACAACTGTAAATATGAAGGAACATTCAAAAATCCTCGCAGGTACCACTGGATCCCAAACACATTTTTTTTTTTTTCCTTCTAATTCTAAAAGTCTTTGCAGTGCAAGGGAAGCTGAACTTCCTGCTTGCTGAACTCCCACACATTGGCAAAACTCATCAGCTAAGCTCCCAAAACTCCAGTTTGTTGAAAACAAACAGCTTTAAACAGTTGCTGCCTTGTGGCTGAAAAGAGAAGAGCTTTTGCATTTCATTTGAGAACCTGGCCATCCAGAGCTGAGAAATTATCTGAAGTTTAAAAAAGAAAAGCCCCATTTTATTAACAGAGCAGAAGCAAAACAAGTATGCAAAGCAGAAGACTGAAATAAGACTCACATCATAAAGGATGGGGCAATCAGAGACATCTATATAAACTTACTAACTACAGATTCAAAACACATTTTGATCAATTTCTCATTTATCCAGGTGCGTTATTCTTATTCCCTAGCAAGCACTGTGTAGCAAGCACTACAAGTGCCGGCATTCCCCCCTCCCTTTTAAAATTCTATTTTTAAAAAATTATATAATTAAACCAAGTCACTGGGGGGGTGGGGGTGGAAACCCTATTCACTATTTCATAAAGCATGTGGGAATAGTAAATAGGCGTATGCCACAGGCACAGACACACTCTGCGCCGATACACCGCCTGCTCTCGGCTGCCGGAACGCGGCAGGAAATATACTTGAAGGGTCTTTGCTGCCGGG